ACTTTGCATTGGATGGTTGCATTGGATACTTTGCATTGGATGGTTGCATTGGATACTTTGCATTGGATGGTTGCATTGGATACTTTGCATTGGATAAACTACTGCTTGTTTACTTGTCTTTCCTTTTTCACCTGAATTTTCTTGTTGAAGGGCACTGATATTAAGTCAGCTTCTTGGGGATGAAGCATGAGGCCAATACAAACCTTGACATATAGGTTTTCATGGGGATGTCAGGTTTTCTCTAGTGTGTGGTATGGGTTGCATCTCAATGTAAAGAAAACAAAACTCCTCACCACTGGACCAATAAACAACATCCATGTCAATGGAGAAAAGATGGAAGTTGTCAAAGATTTCCTTTAGCTCGGATCAACCATCAACACTCCTGGAAGCAAAAGTCAAGAAATTGAATGACATATTGTATTGGGCAAATATGCTGCACAAGACAGCCTTTTCCCCCTCCCCCCTTTTATAAACATTTATTCATCAGATTTCTCAAAGAGGTTGTTTAATCTTCCATTCCATTAGCATCCATTTAACTCCAGCTGTCTTTCAATTGGAAGCGCCATCAGTCCCATTGTCATCAGAAATCCTGTATGTCTGCAGATAGAGCCCTGGTGGGATCACTGAGCTGGAGCGGAACTCAATGGTATGCAGCAGTAATAGTTTAGCTCAGAACTTGGTCCATTCACTGTAGCAAAAAAAAAAAAATGGACTCTTATACCTTTTAAAGGTTTCCACAATTGACACCCAGAGTCAGTCATCCACAGATCAAAATGGGCATCAGATCCCCAAATAAACTTGGTCCAGACAAGCATTACTCAGGTCCACCATTTCGATTTCCTGCTATTTAAGTTAGTGTCTGTTTGCTCCTGGCCAATGTTTAAGGCTGTTTAAGACCTTATCAGCTATTCTCATCCCTCTTCAGCAGTAACTGGAAGATTCCACAGGCCACACTAAGGCGATTCCTGGCTTGGAAAGAGCTGCACAAGACATCTTTAAAGTGCTGAAAAGCAAAGATGTCAGTTTGAGGACTAAAGTGTGCCTGAAGTCATGTTATTTTCAATAACCTCATATGCATATGAAATAAGGACACTGAATAAGGAAGATCACAGAAGAATTGATGCATTTGAGTTATGGTGTTGGAGGAGAATATTGAAAGTGCCATGGGCTGCCAGAAGAACAAACAGATCTGTGTTGGAGGAAATATAGCCAGAGTGCTCCTGGGAAGCCAAGATGGCCAAACTTTGTCTCTCATACTTCAGACATATTATCAGAAGGGACCAGATACTGAAGAAGGATAGCACATTTGGTAAAATGTAAGGGTGGAGAAAAAGGGGAAGACCCCCAATGAGATGGATTGACGCAGTGGTGGCAGTGATGGACTCAGGCGTGGCAAAGTCCAGTATTGGGCGGTGTTTTGTTCCGTTGTGCATAGGGTTGCTATGAGTCGGAACCAACTTGATGGCACCTAATAACAACAACAGTGTGTGCTGGTGTGGTGGTAGTGTGCCGTGGAGTCGGTTCCAAGTCATAGTGACCCTGTATAGGGTTTCTGAGGCTGTAAATCTTTACGGGAGAAGAAAGCCTCATCTTTTTTCCCATGGAACAGCTGGTAGTTTCAAACTGCTGACTTTGAGGTTAGCAGCCTGACTCGTAACCACTACGCTCCCAGAGTGTGGTAGGATCCCTGGTGTGGCACTCTAGGATAAACACTGGACCTCAAGGTCAGTTTGAACCACAAGGTCTTTGGTTCAAACTTAGCAGCTGCTGCTTGGAAACCCTATACGGGATCGCTATGAGTCAGAACTGACTCCACAGTACTTAACAACAACAAGTGTGTGGTGGGTGTGTATATTTCATTCTCAAGGATCTTAGGTTATCTCTAGAAAATGCCCTCTTAATGGGCTCAAATGTAACAACAATCGTGAGACTGGTGAAGGACTGGGCAGTATTTTATTCATGGGGTTGCTATGAATTGGAGCCAATTGGATGACACCTAACAACAACAGTAACTACATTGGTTTTCATTTGCATTTTCCCAGTGACTAATGACTAATGCTGAACCCGAGTCCTGGTGTGATGCTGTGGGTTAATGAGCCGTACTGCGAAGTCGGTTTGAGCTACAAGGTCGGTGGTTCTAACTCACCAGCTGTTCCTTGGGAATCCTATACAGGGTCGATAAGGGTCAGAACTGGCTCAATGGCACTTTACAACAACAACAATGATGTTGAACATTCTTTCTAGCTCTGACTTCACATCTGCTTAGCTTCTTTTGTAAAGTGTTCCTTCTAATCCTTTGTAATTTGCCATAGAGTTTGAGTGTTATTTATGTACTCTGGATACAAATTCTTTATGTTTTGCAAATATTTCCTTCCTGTCTGTGGCTTGGAATTTTCTTTTCCTTCTAAGAATGTCTTTGTGTGTGTGTGTGCTGAGACTGTCTTTTGAAGAGAAGAAATTTTTCATTTTGAGAAAGTCTGTATGATCATATTTCTAAATGGTTTATGGTATCCTTTGGGTAGTTTCTGCCTGTAGCATCATCCCCCATCTGTTTGCTTTTCATTTTGGCTCCTCACTGGTGAACACCATCTCTCTGAACTTGTATTTTTATACCCACCACTGAAATTTGTGTCTAACTGGTGAGCCTGTCCCCTTTGTACTTAACTACACTTACTGACGTACTCAGATCGAATGAACATCTTAATTTATTATTTTATATGCTTCAATTATTGACGATTTTTTTTTCTTCCTTTCTTACCTCTCTTTTGGAATTGATATCTTTATGTAACTTTGATAAGATAAGAACAGTATCAGCCGCTTACATCTCCTGGCTCCCCCTGCCCTCTGAACTTTCTCTTCGATACCATCAAGACTGTTAATTCTGGGGTATTGTGAATATTTCCTCACTCTTTCTTGAGTGTTATCTCTTTTAAAGGTAACCTTGACCAAGATAAATAAATGGTTTCCCTTACCGAATCTTTCTCTTGCAACACCTACTGTATTAACCGTTGCCTTCGTATTACCCTAACCTGTTTCAGAGGTTGTAGATGTGATGTACCTGGGTATAAAGATGGCATGGGAGAGGCGCCCAGCCCCCTCTGTCTTCACAGGGGTGAAGGAGGATCTAACTCAGCCCAGTCTGAGGAGGCTTCCCGGAGGCAGAGATCAGATGTGCCTCCTCCACCTTCCAACCTTTACACCAGTTCTGCCTCCCACAGCTGTCTCCACGTCTCTGCTAACTTGATGAAATGGTCACACAGAACTCACAGATAATACACAACTATGGAGTCTATGAGGAAAGTTAACAGGTTGCAATTCAGCATCAAAATTGCTCAGGATTCAGTTCTTCAGTTAGGACACCCCCTCTCAGCTCAATCCCTTGGCCTCTGGCCTACTTGGGCAAATCTTGTTGTTGTTGTTGTTAAGGGCCATCAAGTTGGTTCCAACTCATAGCAACCCTACATAGGGTTTCTGAGGAGCGACTGGTGAGTGTGAACTGCTGGCCTTGTGGCCCAGTGCTGATCTTCCAGCGCCACCTCAGGATTCCATGAGCAAGTGCAGTACGCCAATTCAGAGCCCGCTCCCCCAGTAAGGCTCTTCCCAAAGGCGCTGGGCCCCAGCTCCATGGGTTGGTAATCCCAGTTCCTCACCCCCACACTCCCAACCCGCATTAAATTCCTGCATGCAGTCCACTTTGCCAGCAAGCCTTCTGGTCAAGGGCACCCAGCTTTCTTGTTCTGTGGGTCGGGAAGCCCACTGCCATGGGGTCTGCTGTCTCTGCCCCCTTACGTCCTTGCCACCACATCTGTCCTTGGCCTTCTGCTGTGCCACAGAGCTCTGCTTCCTGAAGTTAGAAGGCCCAGCCCTGGGATTTCGGGTCCAAAGGAAGCACTCTTCTTTCTTGATGTTAGTGAGATCCCTAAGACCGCTGTTGAGATGGCTTATTATAAATCTAGCGGTATTTTATAGCTTCAGATGCAGGTGAGAGTTGGATGATGAATCAGGAAGACCGTAGAAGAATTGATGCATTTGAGTCATGGTGTTGGAGGAGAATATTAAAAGTACCATGGACTGCCAGAAGAACAAACAAATCTGTGTTGGAAGAATGAAGAATGCTCCGTAGAAGCCAAGATAGTGAGACTTCATCACTCATACTTTGGACATGT